GCACCAATTACATTGAACCATTGCCTCAAGGTTCAGCATTCGAACTTATTCACGCAACTTGGTAGGAGGCAGCTTCTCTCCGTCACCCGGCTTAATAACGCTGTTTTCCACGGGTGCACGACTTCTACGCCGATCATTTTACTCTTCATTACTGCAGTGTAATCAAGTTCATTGTTTTTTTTCTGGCTCAAACGATTAATATTAGCGCACAATGTACAGATGAAATTTCCAACTCATCGTTCGGATGTACTCCTTTTTTATTCATTGGCCTACCAGTAAGTTGCCAAAGGGCAGCAGCCAAGGTCACTGTACAGAAGTAGTGGCAGTCCAAACGGAAACGAAAACTGAAATGATTTCTCCTACCTTTTCATTACTGTTTGCATGTTTTGCGGATTGTTATAAATTCTGATGTATCGTTTATTATTCTTGAACCTCTCAGACGGAGCTTTCCACTACATGGCTTCTTGAACTTTTTTTACCTGTGTCGACGCAGCCCAAAATGTGCCCGGGAAAAGACAAAAAGGTGCTGTTATTCGATGTGACCCGCTCGCGTAGGCGATGCACTATATTTGTGACTACCTCACCAACAACGCTGTCAAAGCGGGTAAACCAGCCTAACCGAAGCTATACAATTCCAGTTCAACGGTACCATTTATTATCAGAAGGGTGGCACAGTAGCGAGTTTCCCATTTGGTTTACTACTCACAGATATATTCATGGTCAAAAATGATAATGGTACCCCAAGTCCCTTCGTTACACGAATGAGCATATCGCCAATGAGTCCTTTCTAGTATCCTCAAACAGATGAGGACGAGATTTGAATCGCCACCATCATGGAATTAGAAAAATGCTGTTTCATTATCGTCTCTAGGTGTTGTTCTACGAAGAACGTCAGATGAGGAAATGGAAAAAGTGTCAATAACAAATCTATGTTGAACGGGCAATTCACCCACTTCCACAGTTTTCTATCGATCCAACAAATCTGCTGAGCTAAGTAGCATTCAGATGAACTGCTTTTTATAGGCCGCATATTAAGGAAAAACGACTAACCGAAAAGTTTCATCAGAAAACTTTGAGGCGGATTCCTGATCCATGTATTTTCCTGTTCCTAAGAAACGGGTTTATGCAATAGTCCATCTCGAAGGAGGGTCGTTAGTTGGTATGTTTACTCCCTAACCAGTTTATGCATTGCTAAAATGTACTTGGTTGTTGAGCCTAATCTCTCGAATCCGTTCCTACAATTCCCTGGCAAAGTTCACCTGTCAGGTTGGTCTACTTCCGTTTTTGTGCTTGTGCTTTTGTGAATTGGAATACGCAGAAAGTACGAACATGTGATTGTCGGAAAGGATAGGTGAACACCGTCAAGCCTGCCTATCTAAATGTAACTATTGCATTCTATCCCAGACACTTGACGTAGGTCACTAAATGAGGTGGAACGGGACATTCAAGGCCACGTAACACCTTTTATTGATCAAAATAATTGTCACTCGGAATCTCATCCACAGTTGAACTTTCTAGGTTTTACGTCCTTCTTACCGATGTTCAGGGCAAGCCAAAACGGTCCGTCGTTTGCTTCTGTGTTGTGATGACTTAATAAAACAGCAATTTGTGATTGGTTACAATGTGCACGGCGAGATTTAGTTTGAACAAGTGAATGTGGAAATCAGTGGGCCGTATCCTTTTGGGCTGGAACTGAAAGCGCTCGGTTGGTTGACTCGATATTCCGGGGCACCTATTGGATCAAAAAACGAGTGACCAAAAGACAACAATTAAAACTAGCACACAATATTAAGAATTGGCAACTGAAGTCGAAAGTTGATCTAATTGCTGCGTTCTTTCCGTTAATTTTTGGTTATTTGNTTGGGCATTTTTTTCTTTCTCCAGTAGATCCCTTTCTACCCTTGTTAACTGTGTGGCTTTATATTGGTTGAGCACATTGCTTTAGTTGCACAACCTGAGTGATTGTTGAATGGTCGATGATAGTACTTGTTTGACCGTTCCGGTTCTTCCATTTCAACGTTTCTACATTTATATGAATTCCGAGTTTCATTCAATTTGAGATGATTGTGATCGCTCTGCACGATTCACTCGCTTGTACGTCGGTGATAGGCGATTCACAGAGCTCCTCTGAAGTGACTACTACTGAATTTTTCCCTAGAATTCCGAAGTCTTCTCTAGAAGTGGATGGTACATTTTTACTTCAGTGTGTTGTGCTAACCGGAAAGTTGAATAGAACTAAGATAATGAAAATCAGTGTCGTAATACTGGAAAAACGGGGCAGTCTTTCAGTCATTTTCTTCTGTTTTTTGACAGTCATTAACTGTGTAGAAATGGCCTATATATTCTCCTTAATCCTTTTAATGGTACCACAACTCGGATTCCATTATGAATATAATATATCATGGGATACTTCAAATTGATGGCTATCCAATAAGTAATGGATTATGTAGCATGTTCATTCATTCAATTTTTCTATTTTGCTCTGCTGTCTGGCCTAATTTAGCCAAAACTATTTGAATAGACCTGTTTTGAGGGAAGGGGAATGAAGTTCATTTCTATGGTCAGAGATAGAGTACACAATATAACTGTGCCAGCGCACTCTTCCTCAGACATTTTGACCTGGTATAGAAGATGAAAACGAGGGAGCCACTGATGCGGGTTAACTTTTATCAATCACACCCTACCTGCGCCGATTCATCGTTTCCGTGATCAAGTTGGTCAGGACGTTATTGATTTGTTCCGGTTGAGTGATTTGGATAATCTGCTTCGTTCCTCAAAACTTCACTCAACGGGTAGTTGTGGATTCCCAAACTCTGTCTTGAAACTCCGTGCAATGTTGCCTAACTCGGCCACCATACAATCTAGCAAAGAAATTTGTTTTTTCTTTCAAAATCAAACTGACTGTAGGGGTGGGCTTAGGCCACTACATATCAGCATTACGTTCTCTTTTTTCAAACAAATGATTAAAAAAACCCGACTGCTTGCTCAAGTTGGCATATGTACTGGGCACTGGAAGCCGTGGAATACAGCAGTCGTTCAACCCCAGAAATGAATTTTGTTCTTTCGACGGAAGTTCATTGATCCACCAGTACTTATAGTGCACAACGGAAATTGCGTTTGTGGATCTGTGTCCGTCTGTGTTATGACTTATTGATGTCAGACTGTCGGCAAATTAAAAGTAGCCATTGTTTTCTTTCGAACGGATGCACTGCATTTAGTTCCACTAGCTGTTCTCGTTATCCGACTTGTGGGATGTGATGCGAATTGTTTAACCAAGTAGTGTTTGCTAATCTGTTCTTATGCAAGAGGAATATGCGTTTCTTGGACGCGCATTCGTATGGTAATGTACCACACCACGAAACGACAAAACTGGATTTCGGTTTCCTTGGCTTTGCTAGGAAAATCATGCGCTCGCTCACCAGCCTGCCTGCCCCTGCGCGCACGTTTACGCTGGCGCGCGTTCTCTCTTGCTTGCTCGCTAGTCTGCACATAGCCAAGTGTTCGTCAAGCCCGCGCGACAGCCATGGCGCGATCGATCGGCATCCTAGCTAGACGGCTTGCCGTTCCTTCGTTCGTTTGCGCATGCGCGTACGCACGCACGCGTCCCGATCGATGGTTCTGCGCGCGTGCGTTTGCGTACCACCTAACGACCGCACACAGTATGTCGAGCCAACCCCAAGAGGTTGTCTGTCTCACGCTCACGGCAAACCCGATTCAGCAACACAATCATTCGTACGTGCATTGCCATCTGTCTATCTATCGGTGTGTTTGTCCAACCGCTCTTTTCGCCTGTACGTCTCTCAGTTGAGTGCGTTCGTATGTGACAACGTGCGTGCGTACATGCGCCCGCGTGCGTGTACTCGCTATGCCAGTAGGTTTTCCGCTGTGGATTCGCCTCCGCGTCCTCTACGTCGTCGTAGTCGTCGTCTTCTGTGTCGGTTCTGCGTGTTTGTGTGCACAGATGTGTGTCTGGTTGAACGAGAATCGCACTTCACCGTTGACCTCCCCTGCACGCTTGGAATAGACGTCGTCATGGTTCATTCGTACAGAATAAGGATCGTTTCGCTTTCCGGTACAGTTCTTGTCCCAGCCTAGGGTTAGTCGGTTTGATCTACCTTGAAATCCCGTAGACATCTTTGATGCGTAAGCTCAGTTTAGTCTCGCCAGTCGTTTCATGAGGCCGTCGCTGGGACAAATTTTTTACCCAAGGTGTTCTGATTGCTTGCAGTGACTGTCGTTTTTCATTACAAGGTGGGCGTTCAAGTGATAATGTCATGTAGCAACATTCTAGGTAGTTTCTATTGCGGAATATGCGCAGGTAACGGTGGTGATGGATAGGCGTTTTTTGTTGACTAGTGCTATCCGTTTTGTGAGCTTCATCATTCCGCTTGAAATCGTCCACAGTCCCGTGACAAAGTTCGACTACTGGTTTTTGTCCTTACCGACATTTGCGTCCTTTGTTGGATCAATTTTGAATAATTAACCAGGTTATTGTATATTTTTTGAAGTATCTCGAAATCTGTGACTATAGAGGTAAACAAACCTTGCTGTTCCTGACTTATTATGGAACTTCCCTACGGGGAAACTGCAAACCGCTTGTTCTCTTTCTACCTAACATTCAATTATCGCTCCTTGAAGTGGCAGTGAACTTACCTTAATTACCCACGAATTTCGTTTTCGACTCACTCAGAACAGTTACTGGAGTAATATAAGACATAAAAATACTGATTATTTGGTTTTAATCAAACGGTGTTTAGCTTCTAAACAATGTAAAGCCTTTCAACCGTTCTACAGAGATCAACTACGCCTGCTATAAATTTGTTGAATGGTCTTCGCATTACGAGGCACGGTACATGGTGATTTCTGAAGTCTCCACTGAGTGGATCAATCTTCTTTTCGAAAAGTGTCACATTTTCTTTTTTTTTTACTATTTGGCTCTATTTACTGCATCCTTGTTACCACCGAGTGATTCTTATCGATTCTTGTGATCTTTTCTCCAGGGGAATACATATCCGTATGCTGGAACTCAGGGTCAACGCTACACGGATCCTTACGGTCGGCCTACATATCCTCCCAGTTCCGCATATCCGTACTACCAGTCACCACCACCACCACAATCAATGGCCCAACCACCGACACAACGGCAGCAACCTGTCTCTTCCACTTCTTCAGCTTCTTGCGTGTCGTCAGTATCCCCTGCACAAACTCACCCGATGGACTTCAATTGTTCGAATTCCGGACTACCACCCCGGCCCGTTCAATCCCAAACTGCAGTCGCGGGAGTACATTCGAGCGAACGTCCGTCATCCGGTACAATGAACAGTAACAACGTGCAACACACACACACGCACCCTTCCCCCGTACATGGTTCTCAAATGTCTTCCCCTCTGCATACTAGCGCTTCAAACGCCACTCCTGCCACGAACACCTCCCAGCCCTCCGGGGTTTGGTCTGGTCATACGCCCCAGCCACCATTTGGATCTCCACATCAGTTGGCCCATGGGCAAATCTCATCGTCTGTTCAGCAAAACAACAGCGTGAATAATTCCAACAATGTGGTGACCGGTAGTCGTCCACGGTCGTCCTCGCGAGATTCATCAATAAAAGCCAGCGCGGGTTCTATCTCAGAGAGTTCTAACGATCCAGGGGCTCATGGAACACCACAGCCAGCGGATTCGGATCGCACTGACACTCAGATGACCAGCGTTGGTATGACCGATGATTCCGGTTCCCGTCCGCAGTCACGAATGAGTGATGTGAGTTTGTTTCCTTCACTACTGGATTCTCTTCGTTTTTTCGTCTGAACTTGGTGGTGTTTCATTCCACTTCTAATGTCTACGGTATTATTAGATCTTTGGTTTTTCGTGAGCGAAGTTGTGTACCACCATAACGACCAGACCATTGGTTGGTTGAACGCTAGCTTAGCTCAGCGAACTTTCGAGTCGGATTATAATATTTATCGAACTTGGGAGATACTCCTATTATATGGCATAGTAGCCCTTCTTAACCTCATGTTTACTTTCACATATATATATATATATATCCGTATATATCATCGGGTGATCATGGGTCGTTTGTTTCAGACCTCCGGGATGGTCAGTTGTTGAAAAAGTATGAACAAGTATGTAGTTCAGCCTCAGTTGCCCGCTGTTTACATATCAATTTGTTCATTGAAGAATAATCAATCTCCCAAAATCACTCGGGTGATTCTAGGCTGGTAGTAAAATGGTTATATATATTTATAGATTCCATACACTTCTAACCGTGCCAACCAAATCCTGGTACAATAATATTTATAAAAATAGAGTTCCCCTATTTGCTCTTGGACGCTACACTGCAAGTTTGGTCCAGGCCTGAATTTCTTTTGTGGGATTCACAATCGGAGCGTTTGAGAAGCCAAAACTGGTGTCCACATAATAATCGGATCATATACCCTTTGGACTGGGTCAAACGTCCGTGCCGAGTATACCTCGGTAGCTGATCGAACGAAAAATTTCTTCCATAGGAGTGGGTCTGGTTCGTATGCCTTTTCCTAGTTGGCTTGGATTCAAGGGTTTTATCCAACTCCCCAAGGTGAACTGTCAGTGGTTCACGGACTCGTTTGTAGCCTCAGATAGTGTATGATCTCACTTGTGAGAAGGCAGTGAATAGCGATTCATCAGCAGAGGTTGATTGAGACGCCTGGTCATACAGGGACATTTTCTTCAACGGTTATCTTTTGTACGTTTTATCAGGTTCTATGAGGTCCCGGTCCGCTAAATCTTTAGAATTTGGTCTTTTTCTCTGACAGTTCTTCATGAAAACTGACTTAACAATAAATCCTTTTTGTCCTTGCCTAAATGTGTGAACGATGATATCTATCTTTTAGTAGTTAAATGAATGTCTCATTCGGGCACAAGTTTCATAATTGAAGAGTTTACGTGGTTAAGAAATGCGTTTCTTTGCTCTGATGCATTTCATTCGTATTTCGCCCATGCTGGAATACATGTCGCTGATAAAAAATAAATTCGAATGTATGTTTTTCTTAGTCGCAAGCAGTTTTATGCGGTTTTTGGTATGTGCCCTATCCACTTCACCTCGAATTTGTTCATGTTTTAGTCCGGTCGACCATCAACAGCAAACAGTACAGGGTCAGCTGGTCTGCGTGACCAAACAACAGACGATCAGAATGTGGCGAGCACTGTTGCTTCGTCCGCTTCTTCAGTCCCTACGTCAGTCACATCATCATCAGCGGATTCATCCAGTGTTGGAGCGTCTGGTCCTGCTCAACTAGATCCCACCTCATCCAACACCAGTTCAACTTTTGTTTCCAATCCCACCCTAAGTCCAATTCCTACCACTCCGCGAGGAACTCCTCCATCGCATCCATATTCGGCCTTTCCGCAACCTAATAGTGGTGTTGGGAACGTTCCGTCATCGCTCCAAGCTGTTTCCGGTCAATCCAATGCAGGTAATTTGCCTCGGATCATTAGTGCTTAAAATGCTGCTTTCTGCTCGCACCGTTACGCTGAGTATAATTTCGATGTGCGTGCAGCAGTTCCTTTTTTTATCGTTCAGGCCTTTGCAGTATTTTCTATGGTTTCTTTATCTTGCACGAATGAGTTCAGTTTCAGTTTTTACAATCATTAACCATGCACTTTCGTGTTCGGGTTTTGGTTGCTGTCCTTTGGTTGCCCATTTGGATAAAAGAGTAAAATATAGATTGGAATGTCGAAGCAAATTCAAGCGGAAGGTGGGGAATTCGTATACAGTGGTGTTAGGAGAATAACGAGTGGATGCACGAGTGCCACTGTTTGCGACACCCAGCCATATCACTCCGTGTCTCTAACCATCGATTACGATCATCCCGAGGCCCCCAGCCAAGGAGCCTAACGGGGCCTATGTGACCTAGTCTCCTGGTTAGGGCTTGCATACCCCCATGCCAGGTCTTGGCTTGACTGCCCTTCGTTTTTTTTCCAATCACTACCAGCCTTGGCAAACATCGTTCGCCGTGGCAACCTATCTGGTGACATGCGTAGCACATGTCCCAACCAGCGTAATCTAAGGAGGTCGAGTACTAGCTCCAGTGGACGACCGCGACTGCCTAAAACTCTACACCGAACCTCTGCATTGCTCGTCCGGTTACCCCATCAGACTTGTGCAAAGCTACGTAGACAGCGGTGTTCAAACAGCGGCAATCTATTTTTATCCTGTTCCTTTAGTGACACGAATAGGAATAAAGCCGTGAATCTTTGTTATCCAAGAGAATCAAGTTGAAGTCAAACGGGTATCCCAAGTGTGCCTCATTCAGCGACGGGTGACACAGGCGTTATTCATATTCCGATAAGATTTTTTTATCACATGCTGTGGTATATAGCTCGTAATGATCAGAGTCCACTAAATGGTTATTACTTTTACTTTTTTTTACCTTTGAGCGAATAACTCATGTGGAAGGACAAGTCGGCTTCTTGGATGTCTCTAATTATGGTGGTCCATGCATGGCGATCGTCAGCAAGCTTGATGCAGTGTGAAACCCACCTCTGGTATGATCTCAATATGCGGATTGGTGACCCAGTAATTCCAAGCCCATCTTGATCGTACTGCTCCAGGTTTTCAGTTGATTACCGAGTCGGCAATGCTATCTACGGAGCGGTGCAGGGGCTACTGCCTGTCGCGAGAGTTGAGTATCAGGAACACATGGCCAAACCACTTAAGGCGCCGGCGTTGTAGCATTTTCGAAGCTTGTAAATGTTCGAGCAGCGCCATCGAATCTCATCATCATAAATCAGATCTTTGTATCTTGTGCCCTTAGCGGCCATGTTTCACAACCGTAAGTGAGGATGGGGCACACAAAAGCCTGATAAAACCAAAGCTTAGTGTTTATTTCTTACCGATTCCACAACGGTCTGAGGAGTTGCAGAAAGGCTCTTCTAGCTCCATCTACACGGAGTTAGATTTCACCCCTAGCCTGGTCGTTTAATGTCTGATTGTAGAACCAAGAGCTTTGAAAACTTCCGTTGATTCGACAAGTTCCCCGTTAATCTTTAGAGTTTTTATGGTGGTAGAAGCTTCGATCGAAAATGTCTTGGTTTTTGACGTGTTGATCTCTAGCCCAATGGCCTGGACAAGTTGGTTTATGCGACTGACAACGGGCTGAAGGTTGTCCATATTGTCTTCAAGTACAACCACATCATCCGCAAATTCCGAGGTCAGCGATCCATGTACCGGGTCTAAGCTGAACTCCGNAACTCCGAGGTGGTAGTTGACGAGTGCTTGTAGCTTTATCCAATCTACGATGTGGTTGAATATCGCCGCCGATAGGGGACAACCTTACTTGATTCCAGAGCTTGGGATAAACCCAGCTGATTCTTCTCCATAAGGACGAATGCTTGTCCGGATCCCTGAGTGATGTGACTTTAAAAGCCTGATGGATGTCTCGGGCATCCCGTCGGACCGCAATACGCACTACGTTTGTGGTAACTTGAAACCTGATACTCAGAGTAACGAACTGCAAAAGGCCTAGAGAGACTAGGAGTGATATTGAGTTTGATGTCCGATTTGCGACACAGCGTATCATTTCAACTGTTCATCAAGAGCACCAGAAATCAACGATGGAGACAGCCTGTCAAGCTGCGATTCTCTTATTCCATCTGAGCTTGGTGATTGTGCATTAGCTTCCGTCTACATCTTTTATCTCCTTGTTTGCCGACGGCTTCCTGAACCCTTTGTTTACCATTTTTATTATCTTCATTAGTTGTCATCCACGGCGCGTGAAAGTTCAAGGTTGACAATTGTACGGTTTAGCCATCTAGTCAGGGACAGACAGATGACTTTAGGCATGCTATATCACAACTGATCGTGTTATGCTCAGTGCACATATGCATACTTACACGTATAAGCTAGTTATCATCTGTCTGCATCTATTAACATTATTTAATTGGAATTCCGATTTGTCCTTTTTACAATTTGTGACCCAGGATTGACGGTTGCAATTTACCAGCGGAATCAATTTTGATGTGATATTGCTTACGCCTTTCAATGTATATGATTCATTTTTACGCATATTTGTCACGATCCCGGTCTTCGTCTTGTTTTCTCAGGACCCAACCGACCTCCAAGCCAACCAAATCAATCGCCACGGCCTTACAATATGCCACCACAATCTGCCATGGGGCCGCGGCAACCGTATCCACCATATATGCATTCTCTTGCAGGTCAGCAGTCACAACCACCACAGCAACAACCGCATCCGCATTACATGGTTGGCGGTCGGCCTCCAGGTTTCTATCCTGGTACAACCGTGGGCCCCGGTGGTCACCCGTCTATGCGGCCATCCATGCACCCAATGGGACCGATACCCGGCCCGGGAATGAGCCGATCCGGTGCTCCGTTTGGCTCCCAAGGTATGATGATGCCTCCTCCGGCTGCACCTCCTCCACCGACAAATTCCAACCAGGCTAACTTGTCCGGTCCAGGCGCACCACCATCTGCCTCTGGTTTCATGGCTGGTAGTGTTGGTGGGCCGTATCCATCTCCAGGCAGTGGTCCTGCCGGTCCGTGCAACAGCAGCGGTGTTTGGGAATCACATCCTCAGGCTGGACCAGCATCTTTGTCTTCAGCAGCTAGCAGTGCTATGTCTCAACCCCATTTCAGTAAGTCCATGATTGTTCTAGCTCAAACTGGTTTTTATGTAATGGGTAATCCGACGTTCCTGATTTTAAGTGTAATAGGGTATATGGCCACGCGTTGCAAACAGTAACGTCGTGCTTGCTCGGTTTCTATTCTTTTTCTAAGGGATGCTTTGGGTGTTTCTCCTATCTTTTTCCTTTCATAAAACTTGACTGAGTTTGTTTAAAAGCAACTACAAAAATTGTCATCTTTTAAACACCAGTCTCCCATTTTATAAATTTTGGAGGTTGTTAGTGTGGCATCGCTAACGATGGGAAGACTGATTTGGTTAGCATAAGTGTTTATTCATTGTAAATAATTTACGCGGGAATGGTGTATACGCTCAGCGTTTGAAATCATTGATTCGGATCTGCTGAATTCAATTATTCTGATCTTCGATTCCAAGGGTCAACGTTATTTTTGTCATATTTTCAGGTGGCGGTAGTGGCCGTCCATCACCACTCTATAGCGGAATGCCAGATCGCGCTATGACTTATTCAGGCTCACCGCAACCTGGTGCAGTAAGCTCGGGTGCACCTGCACCGTCACACTCTGGCCCACATCCTCAATCCTCGATGGCTCCCGGTAACTATCCACATCCACCAGGGCAACCTCCGTCTGCATCATATCAGACACACGCGCCTCACTTACCATATCCGTCCACCCAAATTCCTTATGGTGGTGCGCCTCATCCGATTGCCCAACATGCCTACGTTCCAGGGATGGCGCCGTCCATTGGCCCGGGTTCCTCGGTTCCACCGTATTCGGCTGGTGGCATGACTCCATCTGGACCTGGTGCACCAGGACAGGCGGGACGTGAACAACCACAGTTACATTCGCCCTATACAAGTGATATGGTACCCTCATCTGGTGAGTTATTTGCGCAGATTTAGCCCCACCGGTACCTGTTCTGTTTTATTACATGACGGTAACCTATATATTAGGAAAAGTGTCTTAAGCACGACGATGATCTAAGGAGTCAATTTGATGTCAGGAGATTTGCTCTTAGAGTTTGGCAAACAAGGCCCGTTTATTCTCTGTTATAATCTTTCCCGTCACTGTCGTTCCTCATTTTGGTGGTCAGCTTTATCAACGTTAAATAAGGTTCGGTTCGGAAAGCATCTCTCTGTCAGTTGATAAAACACCAACATGACAACCAAAACTAGTTAGAGGGATATTAATTCTGATCTAGGTACTGTTCTGGTAGATTCCCTTCACCCGAGTATCATTTAAATACACGTGCTCAATAAGGTTTGATGTTTGATATCAAATTAAGTAGCCTTTTTTCCGGAGCGAAACTTACCGGTCACTCGTTCACCGAAGCATGCTCGACCTCAGAGGATAACTGGAATTATTGGAATATTATATGTGTTGTGCTCGCTTGTGCTATCGGTAATGCTCATCCGGGGAGCTTTCAGTGCTCCCGGTTGAGCGGTCTGTACCCACAGTGTATCAGATGTGTCCTATCCCTTCGCTTTGACTGCGTGGTTGTTCATCATTCGTGAACGGCATGATGCCTATGTGCTCGAAATATCAGTAGTGGCTCCCAATGAATGGTTTATCAATAATTTTTCACAGTATTATGATTAGATTGAAAATTATTTTGTCTACAATCCATAAACCAACCGTGCATTTAAACTCCCGATGCAATTGCACCCCAGAATGAGGTTTTACAGGAATTGATGGTCCTCGATTTGGTTGAACTTAGATATGGGAATGTCTCTAGATTTACTGAGCTTACTCATGAGTAGTAAAGATAAAATAGAATAATTTTGTGGGCGTATTAATTCATGTGTTGGTTTTCTTTTTTGTCTGTGAAACAACTGCACTTAGATCTCCCATGGATTAGCAATAAGAATCGCTTAAGTTTATGACCATAAAGCGGGCAAATTTATTTAGCTACCAATACTCCTTTTTGCAGATCGGAGTGCCCCGCCGTCTTTTTGTCCGGTTCCTCCATCTGCCAATACCCCAGGAACCGATCCATCCACCTTTCCTTCTTCCATGCCAGGTGTCGGCTCACCAGCGGGAGTGGTTCGTGGAGTCCCAGTTTCCGGTGTAGGCAACCAGAAGTTGCCAACTGGAGCACCAGCTTTGGGAAAAGTTGCAAAGGTATGTCTCGACAATGCTTTTTCGTTTCCTTTTGGAAAGCATTTATGTAGTCCATTTGTTTTTGCTTTGTGATCAGTTTCGACGCTAGTGTCTAGCTTGTTTGCAGGTGTGAAGGATTATGTAAACAGCTTGCTGCATCTTTCGGTACCGTGTCTATATAGATTGGTGTAGGTATACTATATAGATGATGTAATAATAATAACTAGAAGTAGTAGAAGTATACAACTTTTGCTACCCGGTGGACGCATCACAGCTGAAGTGTCAGCGCGCATACAAGAGGCTCGGCTGGCATTTGACAATTTGAGACATTTGTGGCATCGTCAATACATCCGGCTGTCTGTGAAGGGTCGAGTGTATGCTGCAGCAGTTCGGTCAATGCTGCTTTACGGTGCAGAAACTTGGCCATTACGAGAACAGGATAAAAATAGACTACCAGTATTCGAACTGTCTACGTCGCATTGCACAAGTCTGGTGGGGTAACCGGACGAGCAATGCAGAGGTTCGGTGTAGAGTTTTAGGCAGTCGCGGTCGTCCACTGGAGCTAGTACTCGACCTCCTTAGATTACGCTGGTTGGGACATGTGCTACGCATGTCACCAGATAGGTTGCCACGGCAAGTGATGTTCGCTGAGGCAGGTAGCGGTTGGAAAAGGGTCGAACTAAGACCTGGCATGGGGGTATGCAAGCCCTAACCAGGAGACTGGGTCACATAGTTCCCGTTACGCAAACAGTGGTGCTCATGCATCTCGTAACTTAAGTCTATATGAGTCCGCTATCTTTCGCTTGAGTTTACTGTCAATATTCCTATCTTCATTCTGCTGTTTTATCGAAATGGGCAACGAAAACCGGAACGCGAAAGTGCATGGGTAATGGCTTTACGAAGTGGACTGAGCAGATGTGAAGTAATGTAATACAATATATTTGCATATTTGAAACCGAAGCAATCAGGCGATTAACCTTGTATCTCCGAATAAATCGTTAGATTGCCACAGTCGGATTGATCTTACTCGAACGCAAGCCATGGTTTCACCTTGGGCCTTCGCCTGTGCCTGCGATCGGCTCAATCGTGTTAACTGATTGTTTTACATTTAACTATATATTCCACAAAAGTAGACGAAAACACGAAGAAGTCTGTAATTAAACAGCTCAAGACATCTTTGTTCCCTTGAATTTTTCGATTGATATTAATTCCTTTTGTTTTTTAACTTTTATTGTTTCGCCACTATGTTTGTTCTGAAGGCAGATAAATATTAATAATAGTGTCATGAATTTGCCATACTTATCACTCCGTGCCATTTTTGTCGCTTTTGCAGTTGGACGGTGGTATCCGACCGATGACACCGAACAGTGCCGGATCCTCGATTCAGAATGCATCGCCTCATGCTAATATCAGTGGCGTAATGGATGAATCCGTGTCTGGTTCTGCTCCTGTTCAGCCGCATCAACAGATTCATCATCAGCAACAGTCTGCACCGCCCCTTTCGCAATCTGGTATGAGCGCCAATCCTGGACCTGTTCAGCAAGCACCAGGATCACAACAACAGCACCAGTCTCCGTCGCCTTGTGTCATGCCGCCGTCGGGGCAACCGGGGATGCAACCATTCCCTGGTAATTCATCGGGGTATTGGTCAGACACAGGAGCACCAAATCAGTTTTCTGGTGCCATGCCACCTACGGGTATGGGACCGCAAGGGCCGCATGCTTTTCCATCATTTCCACCACATTATCGGATGCCTGGCTCTGGAGCACCGCCACCACCGCCCGCCACTCCGGGGCCAGCACAGACACCTCAAGGGATGCAAGCACAACATCCGCATAATATGCCCAATTCCATCAACTGTCCTACTTCGATTTCTGGTGCACCCATATACGGGTCAAGTATGAGTCCATACGGATCCGCACACTCTCATGCTCATCCGGTCGGTCACACCGGAATTTCCACGCAGAGTTCCAGTGTATTTCATCGTCTGTTGGAAATGGGTACCGAGCCTGAACGTCGAGCGTGGCTGGAACATTATGTTCGCTTCATGGAAGAGATAGGGAAACCTCTGGTCGGTCTACCCCAAGTGGTCAAGCAACCTCTAGATTTGTACCGGTTCTATTTGGCTGTTCGTGAGCGAGGAGGCGTACTTGAAGTGATAAAGGCACGTCGATGGAAAGAAATCAGCCAGCTTGTCAACATAAATGCTTCAGCCTCTGCTGCGTACACTTTGCGCAAGAATTATTGCAAGTTTTTGCTAGACTACGAGTGCCGTTTTGATCGTGGTGGAGCGGATCCAAACCCGTTGCTCGCTCACATTGAAGCTATGTCGGGCAAGAAGAAGAAACCCAGCTCTGTTGATGATGGTTCGACCCCATTGTCTGCTTCAGGTCACAGTCTGTCTGCGCAGGCTCCGCCTTCTCCGGCCGGCAGTCACTCATCTGCCTCGTCCAGTTTATTACCACCTGGTAGCGGAAGTGCATCCTTGTCTGGGGTTCCGAGTGGTACTGCTGGGAGTGCAGCTAGTGATAGTCAGTTGGGCCCCTCCGCACCACAGTCACGTTTCGGGGACCCTTGTGCGCAGTCATCTAACTCTGCTGTCGGCGAGAGCCCGAACGGAGTTCTTAGTTCACCTGGTTCGGGTGTACTCACCGGCCATGGAGCGGCATCGTCTACTGCCGGTAGTGCCTCCTTCAGTCAATCCTCAGCTCAGTCGCCTCCCCGACCTCCATCCGGTACTACAATGAACGGTTACCCGAACACGCCCCATGGTCCTGTAGAAGCCGCGGCTCGTCCAACTACCAATTGGCCCTGGATTTCCGACAGCGGAATAAGTGGATCACATCAGCCGCCAGTAGTTAGTGTGAACGGATTCCCCTCATCAATGTCACCCATTCGAGGTCCACTATCTGCACATGGAATGCAGCGTAAGTGAAGAAAGCTTTTACTCTTCATTATATACAAGTGCATCAGTATCTCCAAGACCAGCTAATAGTCCCCAATAGGAATATCAAACTAACTACTGCAGGTACACGCTGTTTATATATTCCTCAGTAAAGTGTTCTTCTGAATTCGTTTTGAGAGGATTTGTTTTTATATTCAAGCATCAATTTATATGGTCTTTTGTGAGTAGTTAATCTCTGAATCGAGCACACGGTCTTGACACAAACGTGTGTAAAATATACAGGTGTACCACTATAGTCTATAGTTTATGTTCATTTCGAGTTTGGCAGCGGTGGTAAGGTTCACCTCACTGTATTTTGCTGTACGATGATGATGAATTGCTTCACTGTGTTCCCAACGAAGGCACTTTCACACTGTCTCAATTGGTCGCTAAACTTATACTTTCATCGTCTCGAGGATTGTGTGATGCAACGTTGATTACATCTAGATGATTATGTTGCAGTTCCACTTACTTCGGTTGATTTTCATCTGTCTCCGTTTTCCATGTCTTTTTAGACGGCTTTGACCCTAGCTCTCGTCCCAATGCGACCACTCCAATCCCAAGTCCAAAAAGCGCTCAAGCACGCGTACCCACTCCGGGTGCAAATGTGACGTCCGTACCGCAACCAGCTCGATCCCCTATTCCGTCCAGTCTCACCTCGAGCGCACCAAGTTCTATCGGACTCCCGTCTTCCAATCCCAATGTGATTGTTACCAGTATGAAGGCGTCAGACGTACCGACACAACAGCAGCAGCAACAACAACAGCAAGTGCAGCAGCAGCAGCAACAACCACCACCGCCTCATCACCCTCTCGCCGGGCACTATGCACCACCGAGTGGGTCGGCACCGCCAGGAATGCAACCGCAACTATCCAACCAGTCTCAGATGCCTCCCACGCATCACACATCCTTTATGGGAACACAGCAGCATCCCAGCTCCCCAATGCACCCTTCCATGCCACCCCATGGGATTCCTGGCCCGGCGCCCCCTGGTTCTCCAATGCATCCTCGCCTAGCCTCTACTCCTGGGATCCGTGGTCCGCCTTATGGTGGTGGTCCNCCTGGTGTCAATCCAGCGCATAACCTTGGTGGTCCGCCAAACGACTCAATTGCTTTGCTTCGGATGCATAATATTCGACCCCCTTCTAGTGGTCCACCACCTGCTGGTCCAGCCTATCCGCCAAACGCCGCCATCCCTCCATTCCACCATGGGCAACCGAATTCCACCGGGCAAGCTGTCCCGGCGCATTTGATACATCATCACGGCCAGGTGAGAGATGTGCTTCTCGTGTGTTATGTTTGCGTCCATGTTTATACCAGCGGTTTGTTATTTACGGTACTTAATAAGACAGTATTGTGTCAACAACGCAGTCGTTTCGCAAAACAAGCTTTTGAGGTTGGAATTCGGTCGTTCACCGAATTAATGTTCCATTTATATTCAAGTGACATCCTTCACTGTTCCACTTCAGTCATAGCACTTGCCGATTTATTTTCATGTTATTCTTCTTGTATCATTATGGGTTTCAGCGCCCTGGATATGTGGCTACTATCCTGAAGCGCATCGAGCACTTCCCGTTTCCGCCCGGTTCGATCGAGGCGACTCAAATTGAACCCAGTCGACGTCGAAGATATCGAGTAAAAGATATTGGTAAGTGATAAACGCCGGATTGTCTCTGCCCAATGTATTCATCCTTATTAATAAAGTAACCGTTGTAATTTGTTTCTCAATTTGCCGTGGTCTTCATTTTTTCCTGTGAAGGTTTGCATCACTTTTTCCGTTGAACATTGAGATTGACCACTGCATCATATATTTACCGATGTCCCATTTTTGTTTGTTTTCGCAGGCACTGTGTCCCCATTCAAATTGCTCATGGCGCTACGTTCTGGTCTTACAGCTGAAGTATCATGGGCATTAAATTGTCTGAACATTCTGTTGCGGGATGAAAGTGGTTTAGAAAACTTCACTGGTGGTTCACTCGGCTCGCTAATCAATAATCTGGCGGAACTTTGGCGTCACTCACTCGGTGAACTATTTGATCACAACCTGTTCGTCTGTAGTTTAGAGCTACCCACCAATTTGACCACTATCGGACGTTCGTTATCTACCGAAAACAAGCCAGTCTCTACCAACACGATTCGCGATGAATCCAAATTACATATGTTTCCCCCTTCGTCTCTGTCGTTCGGTATGATGAAGAAAAAGCATCTAACTGTTGGTTCCATGCCAAACGGCCTGGTCAGTCTAGAGCGAGATCTAGTCGCTCTGGCTGCTACACGTGGTGTTTCCGTTTCCTCGCTGCGTGATGGCATTCGACGCATGTTACGAAAATGTGGTGATCCAATTGGGGATTTTATTCCAATGCGTGCACGAAACGGACTTTTACTAAATCCGGGCACAGCCGGCGCTTCGTTCCATTGCGTTAGCAACAGCGGTACTAGTGGTAACCATCCCTTAGTTCCACACTCAGCCTCTACGCTGATCGATTCAAGCCTCCCGGGGGGTCGAACTCGAAAACGAGGATCCAAACAGCTCAGTTCGGGATATGGTTATGGTCAATCCGGTCTAGGTTCAACCACGGTTGCTACCGGGACATCGCATACGATTAACTGTTCGAGCAATGTTCTCTCTCAGACATTCTCTTCAGCGCTTAAATCAGAAAATGTCCCACCGTCAAATGTTGCGACTCGTGTAACTACGGCACCAAACAGTCTCAGATCTCCGGTCGCCTATACGAACTTGCGTGAGTTGGCGCTGTATGTAATTGATGAGCTTTTGCGGACTGAACCTGCTCTCCGTTCGCGTGATGCTCGATCAGACGGCGAGGATGACGACGAAGATGAGGATGAGGATGAGCTTGTACCACCGCCACCACCGTCAAGCTCAATGGGAGCGAACAGTATCAACGTCCATAATCCACATGCCTACTGGTCTATGTCTGCCTACCTGAGGGACTTGATTCAACACGGAGGGGGAGATACAACTTGTCACATCATGCCCCCATTTGGTGCTGCACCATATTCAAGCAGACACTGGAGGGGTGATTCCGAGCATGATGAATCACTACCCGCTGAACCGGGTGTACCCATCAAATCCTCGTCGACACCGCCCCCACCACCACCTGAGGTTGGTGAAGAGAAATGCCCTTTACGTGGAAGTGATCTCATGGAGTATGAATCTCTAGAAGAAGACGATGAAGACGGCGGTCATATACGATCTAAACGTGCTCGACATGCATCTAGTTCATCTTTGCCTTGTCCAGTCTTGTCTCCACAACCTATCGAAGAGGTCTCTGAGGATTCAGAAGTCAAACCGAACCCGGGGGAAACAACCGCACTGAAGTCAACCACGTCGACAGAGCAGCAGCCGGACAGTTCTGATACCGTCGCAGATGAACAAGATGAAACAGAATTCTCTCAGCTAATTATGGACGCGAATGGTCGATGCCCACTGAGAGCTCGGGAAGAATTAGTACATCACGGGCCTGCATGTTTATGGCCTGACCATTCGGAAGCAAACAGCAACGAGGCTCGCGCAGTGCGATGTTTGTGTGTATCCACAGTGCTTCGCAATTTGTCGTTCTGGCATTTGGCAGAAGTGCCACTAAGTTCACATAAACCTACTTTGGCTCTCATCGGTCGTGTTATTACGCTCGGTCATAAACATGTGGGTGCGGAAGACACATGGCAATCTGTAGAAGAAGCAAGTAAACTCATGGAATCCAGTCAGTGTGCTTGGCGTACTCCATCCTGGTTGGACGATATGCGCGAAAATGCCCTGGTCCTTTTGGTCAACTTAGCCGGCTATCTGGATTTGATCCGATTTGAGGAATCCATTGTACGCCCAATTTTGGAGGGTCTGTTGCATTGGATTATTTGTCCTACGGCTGTGGCTATCGATCCGTTCCCGGGACACCGAACTTTAAGTCCGCGTCGTCTTGCTCTTGAGGCCTTAAACCGTTTGTGTGTGCGTGAATCTAACGTGGATCTATTGTTATGCACACCTGGCTCACGCGAATCTGACTTACATTTGCTATTTGGACGTCTAGCTCATTGGTTGGCTTTGCCGGAGGATCAAGTCACTCGTGAACTGGCGTTGTCGACTATGCATTATCTGACAGGGGGTGGGGTATCTTTCAATACTCTGAATGATCCGGCTACTGGGAAATCACGTGGATCCATTGTCTCCTCCATGCAAACTGGACCAACAAGTTTCGTTGGGACCACCTTGTTATCATCAGCGAAACCTTGTCCTGTTGCCGGTCTTTTGTCCTTTATTGAGGCTGCAGAAGCTACCACTCGCCGTGTGATCGATCAATGTGGTGTACAAGCATTACAAGAGCGACCGGAACTGATGGGAACTAGTTTAGAGATGGTGCGTCGTGCTGGTGCCCTGCTTGATCGTCTCGCTGCCGATCCGACTGGACGAACACGGTTCACACCAACACTTGAATTACGTCTGCTGGACTTGGTCACCTCCCGTGTTTTAGATGCAACCGTAGCGCATTTACTGTGCGGTGCACTGCATCGGCTTTCACAGAACCGACAGGTTTCCGGAGATGACGCAGATGTACCAATCATTACGCCTCTCGTCCCACCCATACCTGCACTATCTGTCGTGGCACAACTTATAAAGCCTCCGACACCTTGTTCCAAATCAGAATCTACGTGTAATCCAGACAGTGCAGGATCAGCAAAGTCTGAGAGCAAAACGGACACATCCAAGGTTACGATTACTGACGATCAGCAGCAGTCTGCCGGGGCCAGCAACATTTCTTCGAAAACAAATGTTCCTGATACTGAATCGGTGTCCGTCGTACCCAATGTTGATCCTGAAAAGCAGGCTGAAAAGAAGATTTCAGATCCCCTGAGGGAGGTAAATTTGGTGAATAAAGATACAACTTCATCTCCCCCTGAGCCTGTCAATCACATGGATAATTCGCGATGCGACGTCCCTGTTAGAAAAGAATGTACTGCTAGTGTTCCGGATATATCAGTGTCAAAAACGGACAACGAACAGCCTCTTGCCACTACTAACTCTGTGGATTCTGTTACGTGGAATTCGAACTGCGTTGATTCGTGACGCCTGTACAACACCGATCTGTGTTTCGATAAACTCAACTCTTCCTCACGATTGCCCACATTCATTCACGCACGCTCACACATTCGCTCTCATGTCGAATCTGAATTCGAATCGCCACATTCCCTGCCCAGTCCCACTCACATTTATACACGGGGCGCTGTCATTGACCTGTTGTGATCACGAGACCTGTCTCTCCATGCATTGCCCACAAATATCCGCTCATTCGAAGTGAATAATTGCCCACATGATGACTGATTATGTGGTTCGGGACGTTTCGTCATCTATGCTCTCTATTGTTGTGTACATACCAGACACATTTGGACGAATCCAGTGAGTCCGTATCTTTCTCTTGTCTGTTTAGTTATCAGCATCACAAATGCCACGATTCACTTCCAAATCGTATCCATCACCTAGCCGCTCTTTTGTCCTCATTGCTGCTGCTGCTGCTGCTGCTGCTGCTGCTCCTGTCCCGGTTCTTGCGGCTGACCAGACCTCTCCTATCTGGCTTATCGATGGTTTACTCGTCCAAACTACACAAAAAGCCGCGCAAATGCAAAGACACCTGAACCATGAACCTGAATTGAAGTGTCTTTGCATT